TCATGAAAAGTTGACTTTTAAGGTTGTCGCCGGACAGCAACGCTACAAACACATGATGACCTTATAGAATATGATGCTACTACTACCCAATACAGTATATAAAGTAGTTAAATTAGCTCAGCCTTAAACAACTATGGCAGTACAATACACATCAATGCAGCAGTAATATTAATCCAGAAACACCCTACAATAGTAAAACACTGACAGGGAAGTTTGTGCTGCACAATGAGTGCTTTAACTTTTGATACTTACATCATACTTGACTTAAATAAGGTTTTTAACGCAGGACCATTACTTAGTAGTTTTCCAGTGTGGTATTGATACTTTTACTAAAGGATTGAAAACTTCTTCCAACACTGGATCTGTGTGAACTTGCTCAACACACCTGCAGCTCACAGATGATTTGACATGCCTCTTTCAATAAAGGAAGTGACTGGCAGAGCTTTTGAGCAGAAATGAAACTTAACAGAGGGAGGAAGGCCCAGAGGAAGGACAAACACACTAGGTGGGAGTATAGAGAGAGACTCAGAAGCTTGTGATATAAGGAGCCTCTCAGTTGCTGAAAGGTAATATTATACTCCACATATAAGTATTTTTTCATCATATTATATTGGTTTAAATATGGTTCTGGGAATTACTTGTTTAACGTCTTGTAGCTCAGTTGACTATGGTTAATAGTTCCTCTTCTATTACTTTAAAGTGTGTAGAACTTAATTTTAAAATATATAACATTGTTGTTATAGAAAGGGGTTTTTACCTCACTAATGGTTTAGAAAAGTGTTTGTTGGTTCATTCAGTTCCGACACATTCATAACTTTCTGCTAGTGGGATTTAACACACCCTGAATAACTCCAAAGGCTAAATGATCCAGTGGGCGTGTCACCAGTAATACTAGAGTATTGATGTTGTTGTGCAAAGAGAATATAATTTGTCAACTTGACTGTTGAAATCTGTCCAGTAAAAACCTAAATAAGTAATGAGACACAAAGTAAAGTATTTTTTGTTACCTGTACAATCAACCCTGTGTCCTGAGCCCTGCTGTTCATACGGTCTCTTTTCATTATAGAGATGAGTTAATATTTACAACAGCGATGTCTCCAAAAGATGCCCCAGAGGTTAAACTGCGGGGTGCTATCATTAATTCACTGATCTGTATTTCTCATTTTCAAACTGGAAAGGCATAGCAGCTGCTGTAAAAACTATATATTGTAGTTCTTTCTCACTTAGAACACAATCCTGGGTGGGGAAAGAGTTCTGAAATCATAGTTTTTTAATCATAGTTTTAGATTTCAGACCTCTGCAGCTATAATATTACAGTTGTTTTATGGGGTCAGTAAAACACATAATTTAAAGTAATCAGTATATATGGGCCATTAGAGTATAGTGTATAGGTTGATAACCTGTGTATAAAATCTGTTTAATTGTGAGCTTGCTGTATTGTGATGTGCAAGTACTTATCTTTGCGTAAATAAGTCACAAATATGTTGAATGACAATAAGTTGCTCGATTGACAAATGACTAAGTGTTGCAATCATTACAACCCTCAGCACACTCAAGGGTTTGCTGTGATAACTTGACTTGGTTTGGTATGACCAGTGGCTTATGGTTGTAAGAAAATAAAGTAACAAACCAACATTACATGTATCATGTATTCTCTCTGTTATTCTTATCCATATGATAAAAAAGCATGTCTTTTAGTGAGTACTCGTGGTATCCAAAGTTCAGGGTTGTGAAAATAAAATGCTGTACATAATAGGTTGCTTAACCTTTAAGGAGAACTTGAATTATGTAATACGTTAGTTTGATGCTCAAAGCCTGGCATTCATCCACTGGGTAAACAGGATCATCATTAGGTCTGTCTCCACATAGCGCAATATAAGTTTACTATTCAAACATCAGTGTTTGTGTATTATTCTATGTGGCCTGAGTGATTTCCCAGACAGTAGCTACTGTTAGTTAATATTAGCAGACTTTTACTAGATATTACAGGTTACATAGTCTCTTTGCTTTAAAAGATCCAGTGTGTAAGATTCAAGGGACTCTATTTACAGATTATAGCAGAAGTTAAATATAATAAGCTTATTTTTTTTATTGGTATTTAATCATCTGAAAATATGATTTGTTGTTTTTGTTACCTTAGAATGAGCCTTTTATAGATGCTGCAGGTCCTCCTCCATGCCATGTTTCTAGCACAGAACTGACAAGCTGGCTCTATATGAGGCCCTTCATGTTTCTTGCACACGTTGGTCCTTTAAGGAATTAGTTATTCATTTAACATTTAGACAAACATTTGAGTACAAAGCAAAATGTATATAGTGTTCTTATTTGAAATGCCGGGAGTGAACATAAGTGCTTTCTTTAAACAGATATGGCCTCCACTCAAGCATCACCCAGCCAGACCTCCTCACTGAAGAAGCATCTAACATGCTCCATCTGCCTGGATTCATTTGTAGATCCTGTCACTACAGATTGTGGCCACTCGTTTTGTGAAAATTGTTTGAACTCAAACTTTATGTACAATGACAGGATGTGCCCTCTATGCAAGCAACTTCAGAGCAAAACCCCAG